CAAGTCAGTCCTAGAGAAAGGAAATTCCCTCAAGATGGGTGCAGGGGAAGATGAACATAAATCAGTATGCTCTGAGAATAGGGATGTGAACCTCGCTCTATTGAGAAATAAGAGGAATGGGGTATAAGACAGGCTGGACTCCAGGCCACTGAACTTCAGTTATAGAAACTACTACCCAGGCCAAAATTAAGGATCTGCAGTGCTGTTTGTCTTCAAAGGACACCTCAGGGTCCATTGCTATGGAGTTCAACAGTGACTACAATGGAATRAAGACAACAAAGTCCCTCTTGTATTTTCCAGGGACCAGACTATTTCCCTGGATCTTGTATAACTTCAGGGAAGGACTGAAATTGAACCCCCTGTTAGGTGGCCCACATTGGGGACTCAGATTTAATTTGATTTATAAAAATAAGTAATATGACATTTTTTTCATAAACATTACATTTCCCTGCTTGTTTTAAGCAGCTTCATCATCACTTAAAAACAACAACAACAAAAAAACAGACTTCATTGTCACCTGTTAATTCTACCTCAGAAAATAATTTAAATCCTTTTTGTCTTCTGTGCTTGCACGACTACACTTTAGAACTTCTCACTTGGAAAGCAGCCTTTTCTATCTGGGACACTTAGTTCCAGTCCTGCCCTTCCATGCTCCCCAGRCCCTCCCTGCAGCACACAGCATTCCTGGTGATTCTGTTACAATGCAGATCTGATCTGGAACAGTTCCTCAACTTAGTCACACAGGTAGCCAGAGAGCCAAATCTTCCTGGCAGATTTTTGTTGTTGTTGTTGTTGTTTTATTTCAATTCCTTTGAACAGGTGTGCAACCATAAATCCTACCACTCACTCACTATTGTATTTATTGATTGCACTCATTTGGATCCACACTCCTGCCTGCCCCTGTGAGGCATTTAACCTTGCAAATCTCTGACTTCAGTGTACAACCCAAATACTGTGTCTGGTTTAATCTTTCTAAAATGCAAGTGAGGATCTGTTTCTTTCTTGCTGTGCTCAAAAAAATGTAGCTTTTAATCAACTACTGTTTAGAATTTTCATTAAGCAAATATTTATAGTGTRTCAGCGTGCTAAGCACTGTTCTAGGTGTTGGGGGTAACCCAAAGAACAACCAGACACAAATCTCTGCCTTCATAAAGCTTAAATTTGGTTAGAGACAAGTGCTATGGAGATAATGCAAGGGAGGGAGGAGAACAGGGATTGTGGCAAAAGCAGGTTGCCATTTCACTTGGTGTGTGTGTGTGTGTGTGTGTGTGTGTGTGTGTGATGAAACCCAGGCCAAGGGCAATTGTTTTTCTGCCAGTGCTGGGGATGGAACTTGGTCTCATGAATGCTAGGCAAGTGTTCTACACTAAGCTAAACTTACCAGGCTGGTCAGGAAAGACCCGCAGCAAGGAGAGCGTGCACCCTAAAGACACCAAGGGAGGATGCATTCCAGACAGGGAGAAGTAGGTAGTGGAGGCCCCAGAACATTGGGTTATCTCCTCCAATACCTTCTCAAATTTTAGTTTTACTTCAGGAATCACCCCAAATACCATTTCCATAGGAAAGAATGAAATTCTCCCGTATGTTCTTAGATATAGCTCAGATACACATTCATGGTTTTTGCATCATTTGTAAACACCATCCTCAAAAATATTCACTGAAAAAATAAATAAGGATAAGCTAACATTAGACATTCTTAAATAAATCCTTCTATCGAATTCTTTTAACATAGGAATGTAACCTGGAATGTACTCTAAGGAAAGGGTTTTGGAATCAAAGTCCGGATTTAAATTTCTCGGGTGAAGCTGAACAAATCTATTAGCCTTGTTTAATCCCTCTGTATTTCAGTAAACTAGAGTAAGGACCAAATACCGCAAAAAGCATGTTTTAGGGCTAACCCAGTGAAAGAACATAGTTGGCCCTCTTTCCCKCTAAGCAAACTATTTATGCCCTAAGGACAACTATTGCCACAAGAGGGCGCCATTAAAACATCTGGAAAGGAATGGCTGCCTTTTCCGATTCAACCAATTGCCAGTTTATGCTTAAGCTTTACATCTATGGGGTATGAACACTAAATGAATGGCATCTGATAAGCATGTAGCAGTGAAGAGCTTGGTAACATTAAGCCTACTAAAGGTGCACTAGAAGAATTAAGAATCTGGCATGATTTGTGAAGAACAAAGATGTATGAAGTCAGTGAAGTCAGACTGATGAGGTTTGAGTTTCACAACCACAAAGACAACTGTACCTCCCTGAACTTTATCTATAAAATGTGGTTGTGACTTGATGGATGGATGGACAAATGGATAAACTTCCCACTCACGCCTTCCCAAACTATGGGTACTTGGCAACTGCCCACCTCTGGTGGGTACATAACATTACCAGCTCTGTTCTGCTATTCTCAGCATTGCTTTGTCTAGTGTTCCYCCATAATTGCTTTACAAGAAACCAGCAAAGGCTAAATGGAAAAAAAAAATGTATCTTTAACAAATTAGAAACAAAAGTCAAACTAGAGATTTTTAAAAGTTGATTGAAATGCATGCCTTTAGAACAATCTCTTCAACAAAAGTGAGTATATCCACATGCAAAAGCGTAAAGTAGGGCCCCTACTTGACACCACATACAAAACTTAAAATGTGTCCAAGACCTAAACATAAGACCTAAAGTTACAAAAATCTTAGAACAAAACATGAAAAGCTTCATGACACAGGGTTTAGCAATGATTTCTTGGTTATGCTACCAAAAGCACAAACAAGTAAAAGTAGATAAAATGGACTACATCAAAATCTGTGCATCAAAGGATATAATCAACAGTGAAAAGGCAACTTATGGAATGGGAAGCGTTTGCAAATAATATATCTGATTATGGGTTTAAATGTAGAATATTTATAGATCTATTACTCAACAAAGAATCAGTCTGATCAAAAAATAGGAAAAGGCTTTGAATAGACATCTCTTCAAAGAAGATATATAAATACCCAACAAACATATCAAAAGATGTTCAACATCACTAATCCTCTAGGAAATACAATCAAAATCATAATGAGATTATCATCTCACACCCATAAGGATCAGTACTGTCTAAAAAGCAGGAAGTAACAAGTGTTAAAATGTGGAGAAGTCAGAACCCTTATGCAATTGGTGAGAATGTAAARTGGTTGTTTCTCAAAAAAGTAAAAATAAAATTACTACATGATCCAGCAATTCCAGTTCTAGGAACATATCCAAAAGAACTGAAAGCGGGATCTTGAAAAGATTTTTGAAGACCCATGTTCATAGAAATATTATTCACAATAGCCAAGAAGTAACCCAAGTATCCATCAACAGGTAAACAAAATATTATTCAGCTTTAAAAGAGAAGGAAAATTTGACGTGTGCTATGTGGATAACTCTTAAGTACACTATACTAAGGGAAACAAACCAGTCACAAAAATACTATTATATGAGTTCACTTACATATGGTACAGAGTGGTCAAGTTCAGAGAAATAGTGTTAGTTATCAAGTCTGGGGGAAGGAGAAAATGGGAAGTTTTTGTTTAACAGATATAGTTTCAGTTTAGCAAGTGAAAAAATTCTGGAGACTAGTTGCACAACAATGTGCATATACTTAACACTGGTGAACTACACACTTGAAGTGGTGAAGATAGTTTTTTTTTATTGCCTTTATGTGCTCCTCCCTCTGACAGGCCTTAATGTACATCTGCTCTGTTGAGTCTACCTGTGCTAAAATGATTCTCCTTGCAGAGCACATTTTATTTGAGAGTTATTAATTAATAAAGCTGCTCAGAGGCTAAGAAACCTGATTATGTAAATGAAATATCCTGAAAGCAGGTTATCATTTCKTCAAATTCACCACAGTTATGTCAAAGACACTGGATATTTAAYAATATGTACAATTTTTCAAAGCATTAGTAGGGGGAAAATTATTTTTCCTGTTACTAGTCTCAATCAACTAACTGGATGCTATCCTCTTAAATATGAGTAGACTTCTGGCTCTTGATTATCCTCTGTACACATTTAGAAAGAAATCTTAATGCATGTTTTCAGGAAAAAGTATTTATTTGACACCATTACAAAAATATTTAGGTACATAATTTTCATGTTTATGTCACCTGATTTACATAACTCAATCCTCAGTACCTTTTAAAAACACTAAATAAATCGGTCAATAGAATCTATATTGAAAAAATATTATGAAAGGCTAACATTTGTAGACAAAAATCAGTTGATCATCAGCATGAGAAAGAAAGTATTTGTGAACAAAATAATTTCTAAAAACAGTYTTCTGAAACAATAAATCTAGCCAGTAGATTTCTTTTTAAAAAGTATTTTTAATTATAAACAAAGCTAAAAAACAAAACACACAAACAATGACATCAAAACAAACACCAAAGCATCCTGACACTAAAAACTGGAAGACGGGTTTAGAAAACAGAGGTACGAGCGCCAGGGACGCACATATGCCAACAGCTCATGCCTGGGAGCAGAGGCAGCACACAGTCAAGGGCATTCATTCTGAGAAGGGAAGGAAGACGGTCTGGCTGTAGAGTTAAGTGACAAACTGAGGAAGTTTTAACTGAATTACCATTATGAAATGTAATGATCTTCCTCTGATATAGAAAATAGCTTTCCTTTTTTGAAATTTACCATCATACTACGAAAGTAACTTTTATTTTTTAACAGAATCACCTGCATCACACAATGGTTACAATTATATCAAGCAGCTATTTAAAAAAGAAAAGACAGTGAACAGAAATAGGTAACTAAACATTCCAAGGTCAGGAAATACATTGTCTAGGCCTCTTTCATTTAAGGAGCACAAATTAAGAACCTTGTTTTGCCTACAATCCCACCATGAAATAGGGACAGTAGCCACATTTTCTATATGCCTAAAAGGTACTAGACACTGCATTAAGTTATTTCATATTTATTATCTCATTTATTATAAATATTTTTCCTCAGGGAGGGAAAAATCAATTACAGCCTTTTTCGTTAGGAGGAAACTGTACTACATAATTATGGGGAAGCAAGAACATTAGCAGCTGAGGAGGAAGAACCCAGGCTATGCACAGAATCCTCAAAGTTGTGTCTTATCTCAAACTTAGAAGACTGATTTGAGTTACAAAAGACCTCTCAGATTAAAAAGTTGCTTTCCTCTATGGGAAGGGCACCATAGTACAGTGACCTGGTAACTGTGCATGCAGCTCTAGTTCACAAGTCATTGACTCCTTTTATCTGTTTCCCCTCTCAATTTGGGTCCAGGCCACCACCTTTAGCTAAAGAATTGTATACTCCTTGACAGCGAGACCCATGTCCTATTCATCCATTCCCCCACGCTTAGCAAAATGCTTGATATACAACAGCTTTTAATCAAATACTCACCCACTGAACAAGCCCATGATTWAAAAAAAGCAAAGGCAGCCCCAAAGCCCTAGGTACTCTTCCAAGCCAATCAAATGTGAAATTCCATTATTTGGGTGAAGAACCTACCTCAGCTTTATAGACTGAAATCTCCCAAGGATTTCTGATATGATAGGATTACAGAAAATTTGCCAATGCATGTTTTTTTAAATCTAAATGCAAGTTGGATGTTACAAACGACTAACTCATAGTTGACAGCCACATGCAGCAATTAAAATTAAGTGACATGGTAGCAATGTGCAGTCTAGGCAACCAGGATTATTCTAATCTATGTCACATTTACTACAAGCAGATTGGCCAGAGGACTTCACCTTCATTAACTCAAGGAGAGGAGCCATTAGCTCCTTTCAGAATTCTCAACATAGTTCATCTGTCTTAGTGGGCAAACTAAGGATTTAACTCTATACTGCCTCTTTTCCTTTCAGAAGGGAGTTAATAGGTCAAAGCATTTTTGCTCATCAACCTTGGAACAAAATCCAGACATTCTGAGAGACACCAGATTATTGAGCAAATGTCTACACTGTATTATACCAGAAAACCACAAGCTCCAAAAAGTGGCCAGCCACTCTATTCAATCTCAAACTTACCCATGTCACTCTGTCTTATCTTGAGATGGTGGCAATAGCTGAAGGARGTCTCTCAGGATCAGAACACAGACAGAGCAGAAGCTGTAAGATGCTGTACCTGCTCCTGTSAGTCAGAAGGTTCAACACAGACAGGGGCTCTGAGGTACAGTGCATTCCATGAGCTCTACTTATACATGATTTTCTCAAATTAACCTGGAAGAGAGACAGACTTCTAAGGGAACCTGATCCTCAAGAAGCAGTTCAATCCCTGGAGGAGTTCTAGTCTTGACATATCCAAAGGGCTTTCTAATAACAAAGTTACCTCCTTCATGTGGCTGACAGAAGGAACAGAATTATTCAAATTATCTCTAGCTAAGCTATTGCATCCAAGCAAAACCAGGCAGTTACAGGCAACATTCATAGCCTAAACTACATATCAACTGAGATCAGCCTGGAGGTTGAATAAAGGCTCCATGATAGAGGGTACCCTGTCCCTCTCCCTAATTTGCAAAGTCCACTTCTTTCTGACATCAAATTCAGTCAAGCACTTGCCTCTTTGAAAGAATTCAAGCTAACTCAGTTGGCATCCCTGTTTCCTTACGGAAAGGCTGTTAAATCAAATGGAGCATGGTTTAATGGAAAAAAYGTGGAGTTTGATTTATAAACAAGTCATCTATTTTCTCTGATTCCTGTTTGTCTAATTAGTAAAATAGAGACAAATAAGACACAATATTCTTGCACTAGAATTTTTTTTAGTTCAGATGATCCTGGAAAAAAGTGAGCCTATGGTGTGGGTTCAATATAATCTTACAAATAGAAAGAAAAAAATCAAAATTTTCCTAGTCTCCTGTTGAGACACCAAAATATTAATAGTTTTAGGTCAACAGAGCCCAGTAGTTTCCAAACTCAAACAGAAACTATTGTGTACAGTAGGGCAAAGGTACCAGCTTCTGGTACAGACTGTACAACCAGCCTGACAAACACACTCAACTCCAGTCAATGGATGTCTCTGAGCCAAGCCATGGAACTGTGTTTAACACTTCCCCACGAGGCAATTCAGGCAATGTTCCTTCACAGGTCCTGTCCCAGGATGCAGCAGACAGAGCATCTAGGTGGGTAGACCCAAGGAGAGGTACGTTCATGCCATTTAAAAAGGAAGGAACGCTGACACTGCCAAAGAAAGGTCCAGCCCTGACAATACAAAAATCCCAACCAGCTTTTCCTCTCAAACCAATCATTCACAAATGTGGGACCTCATCATACTGATCTGAGAAGTAAAAAGAGAAACCAAACTCAGAGGCGGCAGGCATAGGGAAAGAGGTGGTGATCACCTTGCCTGTCTGCCATCCTTGTAGACAAGGGGTCAGTCCTGAGCTGAGCTGGTTTACAAAATGCAGCTTTTCACCTCAATGTCACATTGCAGCATTTGGACTCACACTGTGTGGGATAGGTAGGGCAGGTGTTTTAACCCCATTTACACATCTGCAGTTTCTGAGAGCTGAAACAACTTACTCATAGTCCCAAAATCTTCCGAATGATCTAAGAACTAAATTTTCCATCTTACCCTTTAGTCACTAAGGCAGGAAGGAGATCTTCCAATTACTTCCCCAAATGGTGTCCAGCACTTAGCACAATGCCTGACGAATACACTCAGTACATTGTAGTTGGATGAATGAATGAGTCAAATAGATGAGTAAAGAGTACAATGCCTACTTCCTCCATCCCTTCATTATTCCATTCTATATAACAGAGAGGGAACAACATTTTAAAGGAATCACTCTGCTCATCCCATCAGTTCTCAAGAAAGTGAACATGGAAAGCAATACATTCCAAAACACCATGTATTTTTTTTAGTAYCAAAGTTGCTATCTTTGGCAAATATGATATTTATGAAGACAATGCAATCAATAAGAAATAAAATTCAAAGAAATTTCAGATCGGCTGCATTTCTGGCAAAAGAAAGATCAAACTACTCCAGACACAGCAATGATTTGAATGATAAGGCTCCAGTAGGAGCACATTATATATGCAGCTCTCAAGGACCCCTGGATATCAAACTATGGAATAAAATACTTTCAAAACACTGATGTTTCACTGTCAGAAAAGAAAAATAAATTAAAAAGCCCAGTACATTTTCCAGTTTGATATAAATTAATTCAAACAATATACTTAAAATAGAGTCAATTATAAGTTTCTCTCATAAAATTTCAAAAGGCAGCAATCAATCCTTGGATTGTACAAGTGCAAAAGGAATGGCATTTTCTCGTAATCATAGTGGCATCTGCCAGAGTTCTGAGTTGATCAGAAACTTGGGCACATGCAGTTGGAGCAGTCCTCTGGTCACACTGCTCCTTTCCCCTTCATGTCCAGCTTGTTACTGGCCTCTGACTGTTTGCTCAGCTGCTCTTCAGTGAAAGTGATGTACGAGTATACCAGACTCCCAGCAATACTGCAAAACAGAAAACCACCATGAGGCAAGGAGGAAGGGGAAAAAAGATGAAGGAAAGAATATTTATAACAGCAAAAAAAAAAAAAGATAAAAAATAAGTGTTCCACAGTGGGAAATTACATAAATTCATATAATCAAACACTATGCCATTAAAATTACCTAAAATAAAGACAGGCAATGACATCTTAAGTGAGAAAGAATTCTATAAAACACTGATCCTCTTTTATTTCAATGAGCATGAGTATATGCACAATCTGCATCAGAGCAGAAAGTTTGGAAGGAACACACCAAGAATAGTGGTTACATYTGGATGGTGAAATTAGAGTGATTTTTCTTTTTTTCCTGCTAAAACAAGTTCACAGTAGCAAACTTCTCACCTTAGCCCTCAGCCTGTGACAGTTCCTGGTACACCGGTCTGTCCATCAGAAGGGTTCACTCTTTGGTTTATCTAATCTAGGGCCTTGCATATGCTAGGCAAATGCTCTATCACTGAGCTATACCCCCCACTCCAGGTTCACTCTTTGAGGATAGTGATTATTCTATAAATTTTCTGTGAGGACCTCAAATCCACTCAGGATCTATAACCTCCTTTACCGATCACTAAGCTAAAAGCAAGCAGAAAGAGCCCAAAGATCAGCATTTCCAGCCTGCCCTGTCCTGCTCTTCAATGAGGGCTGCTACCCAGGGTTCTCTTAGATCTCCAGCCAGCTGGGTGTCTGGGCTGGGATCTGCTTTCAGATTTTTCTGCCATGGGTTTGGCCCTCATCTTCTGCCTGACCACAAGGTTCATAAACATGCTGCTGATTTGAAAATCATTCTCTTTTCCTCTGAGCTTTGACATCCCAGCCCCAAGCCAGCTACTCACAGTGAGAGAGCCTGTCTCCTGCTCCCACAGGAAGGAAATGAGGCACTGGCATTTTACTGCACATGCTTACATAAAACTATCCATTCTCTGAAAAACGTCAACCAGTCATACACAAAGTCTTCTCCAAGCCAACCTTCCCAATCAGTTTCTCACTGTTTCTCATCTGAGCCTAACAGCACACAGTAATAAATCAAATTGTTACTAATTATTAAAGTCTATTATGTGTCAAGCATTTTACATTCATTCCCTGCTGTTGCAATATTCCTCCAAGGTATAATATCCCTGCAAAGTACCTATTATATAGACGAGGAAACTGAATCCTAGAGTCATAAGAAGCTTGCTCAGCATCACAAACCATCTAATGATGGACCGGAATAAAGCCCAGGTCAATCCTTCTCCACTGTAGTCGCTGCCTACTTGATGGCTCCTATCCATTGATATTGCACTTACTTGTTCTTAATTGTCCTCATCATCCTGTAAACTTCTCAAGGCCTTATTCCTTAAGCTCTACAAAATTTCTTACACAGGGCCTGGCACTTTGAAGTGACACAGTAAGTAATTGCTGAACTGAATGTCCTTTATCAGTCAAAAACCGGCCTGGTGGGCCCAATCCCGAGAGTGCCAGTGTTCACAGCGCTTCCTCTTTTCCTTCATATGGTAACTTTTTTTTTCCATTTTATTGTTTCCAAATTTGATCTAACTCTTCTGGAAACCATTTGTTTTTCTAGTGTATCAAGTTGATGATTTGCCTAGCAGCTGGGCTGGGACTCAAGGAGATGGCTTACTGAAGTTTTACCACTAAAGGTAAAAATTCTTGGAGGGCCATACTGGTATCCACATGACAGTCAATTCTCCTTTGCCTCCAAACAAAGAAGAAGGGCTGCTCCTTTATTCCTTCATTCCTTCCCATAATAACCTAAAAATAATACTCTGTTATTTTTTCCTTTCAAGACAATCTTTGATGTTCATATTGAGCCCAATTCACCTGACTAGAAACACTGGGAAATACAGAGCAGAAGAAGACAAAAGAATGTCCTGAAATTTATTCCAGCCCAGTCCTATTCATGCTCCCAGACCCTATTCTAGTAGCACAGTCAGTATAATGAGAAAAAAAAACGTAGACTCTAGGGTTAGGTCTTAGTTCAAATCCTACTAGCTCTGGGACCCTGGAAAAATTAATCTGAGATTCCATTCCTGTATTAATCTAGTAAGAATGCTATTATCTATCTAGGCTAGTTTGAGGATTAAATAGGATTAAACCCATAAAGAATCTAAACCTACTTCTGACACAGTAAGCAATCAGGAAATAGCATCCTCTTTTTCTCCCACCTTCCCTGCCAGCCCTAACACAGACCAGAGAGGAAATGTACTGTTAACAAAAGATAGTCCATCCCAGCGGCTCCCAGCGGCTCGGGAGGCAGAGGCAGGAATATCATGAGTTCCCTAGCCCCAGAAACTTAGCCAGGCACTTAGCAATTCAGTGAGATCCTGTCTTTAAATAAAATTTTAAAAAGTGTTGGGGAAGTGGCTCAGAGGTTAAGCTTCTCTGGGTTCAATTCTCACTACCAAAAACAAACAAACAAACAAAAAGACAGTCCATTCAAGCTCTTATTAAACAAATAAATGGCCGGGGCATGTGGCTCAGTGGTAGAGTGTGTCTGGCACATGCAAGGCCCTGATCTCCAGCACGGCGGGAGGTGTGTGTGTATAATACAGGGAAGCACAACTATAAACTAAACTAGATGGCTTACAAAGAAATTTGCTTAGCATAATTCTAGAGGTTAGAAAAAACCAACATCAAGGCAAATTCTGTATTTGGTGAGGAACATCTTCCTGGGTCAGATGGTGCCTTCTTACCTTGTCCTTGAATACAGGAAGTGGGGTGGGTCTTTAAGGAATCTCATTTAAGAGAGCTCCAACTCCATGACCCAAACATCCCAAGGCCTCACTCCTAATACCATCAGCTTGAGAGTTACAACTTAAACATGAATTTTGGAGGAACACAAACATTCAGTCCATATCAAGGAGACTTGGCAAGATGCAAAAGGAGAGTCACATTGTGCCATATAGTTATTCAAATAACYAGAGCAAAATCAAAGCACAGAACCTACTGGTCCTAACTCTGAAGCTCAAAGAACAAWGAACAGTTGTCTATTCAATGTTCACAAATTCCAACTTGAGGCAACAACAATAGATTTTTTTTTTTTTTTTAGTACCAGGAATTTAACGGAGGGGTGCTTAACCACTGAGCCACATTCCCAACTGTAATTTTTTTGAGACAGGGTCTCACTTAAGTTGCTGAAGCTGGCTTTGAACTTGCGATCCTACTGTCTCTGCCTCCCAAAAGCACTGGGATTACAGGTGTGTGCCACTATGCCCGCAACAAAAGATTTCTTATTTCATCTTTATTCCTGACTTGATTATTACCAAATATTTACATTTACAGAAACAGAAATTCATGAATCACTTGAAGAGGACTAAATACTCATCAATAAGTATATTATGTGTCAAGCAGCAATGAATTAATATTTTGCAACGGAATTTTAAATTGCTCTCCAGTAGCATTGGGGAGAAAGAGATGGAAGAAGAGGCAAAAGAAGATAGGGGAAAACCTAGATATTAGGTGGGGTGGGAACCTGTATCTGAATCGCTACCAAAGTCTAAATCACAATCTTCTACTATTGCCAATTCATTTTCTAYTGGCTCCTTAAATGTTCACTTCAGTGTTGAGAACTATCAGTAGAATTTATATGTTGGACCTTCTTAAATATTCATTAAATTAAAAAAACCTCAGAACTGATCAACAAGATTTTTWAAAAATTCATGTTAAAAATAAGGTACAATCACTACAAATCTTTTTTTAAATCCAAGCCATTTTCCACCTGCATAATATTCAAACCACAGACCTACCAAGCTGCTGTGGCAGAAACAACTGGGAGATGCTTGGAAGAAAAAAGACAAAGCTACAATTTCCTATAAACAGGGGTCTAATCAGAACACTGTGAGTCTGACTGTGTAGTGCCGAGTTGGCTTTATCTGCTCTGAATCTATTAAATATGATGACTCTACRTCATTTATTCTAATCTACTTCTGATCTTTCAAAGCAATGCAAACAGCCTACCTCTTCTAGACTGAGTCATGAAAATACTAGCTTTCAATAGTTAAGATGTCTGTTATACAAATAATGTATAGTAAAAATGTCTTCAATGGACCGACCCCACAGCCAGATAACAAGACTGAAGTCCAAGCTTGTCTTCATCTCAACCACTAACATGCTTATTAATGTGTCTAGGCAGATGGCTCTGCCTCCTAGATTAAGCMGTGCCTTCTACGTATAAAACATGCCAAGCCACATCAAAATCTAGGAACCAAAAGGTTCRATTCCCGCTATTTCTAAGAAACACAATTTCTACCATATAAATGAAACTGGGTGTCTAGAAATCACGTTCCTACAGTGACCAGGGATCCCATCTCAATGTCCATACAGCACTGTGAGGAGCCCCTTCCTATCTTCCTTCTCATCAGCTAAACAAAGCAGAGCTGCATTGTTGCGCTCTTTTATCACCATTCAGAGCTTTCAAAACTGAACAGAAACAGAAGAAACACAAAAGTTGAGTAAAAAGCATCTAACTATGGACTCTGCTGCTATAAAGCTGTAACATTCTGCAAATTATTTAACTCCTCAGAGCCTTACTTCCTTCATCTGTGAAATGAAGATTATAATAACACTCTTGTAGGCCGGGTACAGTGAGCATGCCTGTAATCCCAGCAGCTCAGGAGACTGAAGGCAGGAGAATTCAAAGCCAGCCTCAGCAACTTGGCGAGGCCCTAAGCAACTTGGCGAGAACAAAAATAAAAAATAAAAGGGGCTGGAGATGCAACTCAGTGTTTAAGTGCCTCTGGGGTCAATCCCTAGTACCAAAAAATAAATAAATAAAAATAAAAAACATCCTTGCAGGACTAACATCAAATTGTTAATATAATTATTAATAGAATTAGTATTTTACTTACTATATAATATGCAATTAATCAGTTAATGCATAACTAATGCATTAAATTTTACACTTAAATTATATATGGGACAATAAACCATTTCAAAAGGCATACAGTAGCCATCCAACAGGGGTAAAAGACA